ACTCTGCCCAGACCCCATCATCTGCTTCTCGTCTTTTAGCTCTAGCTCACATTATACCACTTCTGACAGTCTGTTCTGTACCCTCCAAGAGGGTATAGCCTTCTAATACCTGCCTTTCTTTGTCATATTGATGGGTTTCGATTACTTTATAGCCACTTTCTGAAATTAAATTTGCTTGCCTGTTTGTCCATCGCCTCCCTCTAGAGGGAGCACGTGAGCTGAGCGCTGTGACCTTGAATGCGCTTCACCTGTTGGTTCACTTGGGAGGTCTCCAGATTCTTGGAAGGACAGAATGGATTATCGAGGTCATCAGAAGCAATCTTATTACACTTAATTTCGATTAAACATACTTTACTCAAATACTAGCAGGTATTGTCTCATCTTGTTTTGAGATTTGATCAATAAACATGTAGGAACCTTTCTGCATTTTTTTTTTCTGGCAATGTTTTCTAAAACTTAACAGAATCAATAATAAAACTTTGGTTAATGAAAATCTTGATTTTGTCTTTTTCAGTATTGACATTTCCAGATTGAGATCCTTAGTCTTAGTTGATTGTTGTCCCCTTTTCATTTCAGATGGAAGTTTTTGTATCATTTCTCCTTCTGCTAGATTTAACCATCAGGCATATAAGATTTAAAAAAAAACTTTTTATCTTAGTGAAGATTACTATTTTGATGACACTTTGGAGGTGCAGTCATATTTTTTAGATGAACAATCTTAGGGAAAATCTTCAGTAATTCTCAGGTATTTTTATGGAAGGGTGATTAACAACTCAGACAAAATTTCTCTGATCTACTTTAAAACTTATTGCTACATCTGTCTCTGTTTGGGTATAACTGAATTCTTTCTTAAGAAACTTGGATATTTGAAAAGTTGGAGGAATTTCCATCATCTATAGAGTTGGAAATTCTGCAGGATTCTTTCTGTTTAATACATTAATTTTTTGAGATCAGATTCACAGCAGTTCCTGAGGAACCCTACTCATGACCAGTTTCTGGTCTTTAAAATACTGCCAACAGGTCTCCTTATTACTTTACAACAATCTAACTCATGTAAGGAAGTCCCAGCTCAAAACTCACCTCTGGTGAGGATCAGTGCCAGGAAACAGCCACCCCCTCCCCTCTGTTCTCATTCCTGGGCACAGACAGAGGGCATGTTAGCTGCTCTGCCCGCCTTGGAGTTCACCGGCACATAGCTCTTATCTCTGCTGAATTACAAAGGTCTCTGGAAACATTTGTGCATCTTTCGGACACACTTCCTTTCATTCCCCACTTGATAGATTTTACCGAATGTGTACAGTAAGAACTCAATGAACACATTGCTTTTCAACGCTCACACTTCATAATTGTAAGTACATCTGAGAGCAGTTTTTTGTTCTCCATGGCTCTTTGGGCAGTCTTGACAGCTCTCTACTTTCAGGCTTGACATCTGTACTGCATGGCAAGCCGCACTTTTATGCTGTCTTCTCACTGTTCTTCAGGCCACTCTAACAGACCTGCAAGTAGTTTAATGTTCAAGAATGTGTGTGTGTGTGTTTCTACATGTAGAGCTTGCTTCTGCTTGTTTTATGTACTAATAGTTAGCCTTTGAAGGAAAAGTGGCGTCACCAAAACATTGTTGACTCTGGAAGCAAAAACAACATAAAGTAATTCCACTCAGCTCCGTAGGCAGATGTTGGTGAAAATTTTTGTGAAAATTGTTATTTTTAATTATATATTTGTCTTAGCTTTGGAATTCTGTTTGGGTGTTACTGGAAGTTGCTTCAGTCACCATTTTGAACTTTACCCCCTTGTGCCTTCAATGGCAAGCTTCCCTGTTCTCTTCTAGATGTTCAACTTTTGAAAAATCTCCCTTTTTCTCTGTGTTATTTTTATGTGCAGGATGAGTACATATGATTATTTTTTGAAAGCATATTGCCTGGCTCTTAAGAAATGCATAACTTTTATTGAATATGCATTGATCAAAGGCACCTACCATTAAAAAATAATTACTTGCACTTGCAATGTATCACTCTACCATCTAGAGCGCATGTAGGTTAGATGTTCTTAATTTCTAACTGATGTCTTACATTTGTCATGGAAATGTTTTTCAACTGCTGATTTTCTTAGATCTCCTTTTCCACAATAAAGTCGAATTTAAATATATTGTGATGACTATGATGTAATGTCTCCCCAGCAAATGTCTCCCAAACCAATTCCATTTACTTATTGACACTGAGTCTGAAACAGTTCCTTTCCATGTGGGTTTCCGACCTGCATATTCTCAGAAATGGCCTTTTCATCCAGGAAGAGAAAGGGATCTGTCATCTCAACAAGAAGATGCATTTCCCTAGTATCCTTGGTTAATCATACAAGCACACACTCTCCGGCACGTTTAGCTTTCGTTTTCGGTTTTGACTTTCTGATTGGAAAGCACATCGAGTGCTTTATTTTATTCCCCTGTTATTTTGAAAGTGTTTACTTTTTTTTATGATTTATTTATTCATACAGAACTGGGGTACAGGCCAGAGATGCAGAGGGTGAGAGGATTCACCATAGACAGAGTGGGGAGCAGAACAGGCAGAATGACTAAGTACACTGCTGAGGGGAGCAGCGGGCGGGTCAGGAGAGGTCTGCCACGCCATGTGGTCTCCTCCGGAACAGGCGGGATGGAACACATGCTGAAGTGGCTTTAGTTTCTTGGTGCTGTACTTTAACCCGCTGTGCCACCAGGGAGGGCCGAGAGTGTTTAATTTTTAAATGAATTCCCTGTAATTCAATTCCTGATCAGATTCTTACACTGTTTTTGCTGGTTTTTATAAAGAGTAGTAAACCATCTTTTTGTTGTCATCTTTTCTGTAAACTTTACACATTTTCATGAGACGAGATCTCTAAATTGTTATTGCTAGTGAGGCTCCAACTTGGCATTATTATAAAGTAATTAATTTATTCCTTTGGCTTATGTCATAGAAGTCTCTTATATAATGAGGGGTGTTTGATCTTTTCTTACTAGTATTTGTCTTGTGTTTCTTCGTTGAACACTGGTTGCATGCCTGCTAGGTACAAAACATGATTATAGCCTCATGGAGAGGAAATGCTCTCTGCTTGTAGGGACTTCACAATTCTGTGAGAAAGCTACTGGAAAAAAGCCCAGTACCCTGGAAGCTCTATTATAAAGCAGAATACAGACAAAGTAGAAGAGAAAAGAAAAGAAATTTCCAAAGGGTATCCTGGGTAAAGGGGAAAGATGACTTTTACTTTAAAAGATGGACCTAGTACAGGGAGGAGATGGAGAGGACTTTGCCAGAAAGCTTGGAGCAGGGGAGTCACGACACAGATGACTGGAGTCACTGGGTGGAAGAGCCTGTAATGTGGAGGGGAAGAGCTGGATACAAATTTTAGAGTTTTGGGTTAGGGTTAAGGGATCCCTGAATCTCAAGTTAGTGTTTATGAATTTTTGGTAGGTAGCAGAGTAAACGATGTGACATTCAGGGACTGTGCTCTCTTAGTAATACAGGTACCAGTTACTGTGTGGTAATGCATGTCAGGTATTGACCTAGGCGTCGTATATTTAACCTGCACAATCATGTTGAAAGGTGATGCAATTCCTAGTTCACAGATGAAGAATATGCAAACACCAAGAGGGAGATGAACCCCCAAAGTTGCAAAATGTGTATTTGGAGGGGTGGGACAGCCACCCACATCACTCACAGATCAGTCAATGTAACAAAAGTACTTTTGTCTCTTCCTCCCATTCCAATGTCCTCAAATTGACCAAAAAATTTTTTTTCTAGCCATGCACAAACTCTAAACACAAACTGGATCACAAAGTCTGAGGGAAAGTAGAAGGCAGTCATGAAACTGCGGCCTGGAATCAAAGAGCTGATGCAAAAGCGGCCGCTACTGGTAGTGATCAAAGCCTGGGTGTGGAGATCTGGGGAGGGCCACAGAGTTGTCCACCCAACACGGATTAAAGTATCTTAGTAGCCAGAGATATACACCATGCCGCTACCTTCCAAGACAGGCAGGCAGCTGTCTCCACACCAAGAGGGGACCTGAAACGGGTGGGGGCTTCAGTAAAGGTGCACGGGCACCCCCAAGGATCAGGGACAGAAGGTAGGGGTATGGTAGGCAACTTCCAGGAGGACCGAGTACTCAAGTGTAGCATAACCACCTGCACACCCCACTCATTAAAACTCAAGCAGCACAACTAGCTTCTCTGTGACAGTAGTGTGTGTAAGTAGGTAGTTGTTTACAGGCACTCTCAAGTAAACAGAGGTCTATGGGCAAAGATTAACACCGAATGCATCAAATTCCATTAACAAATGCACCAGAGTCAGCCAACAGCAGAATTTCCTTCTAGTACCCACCCCAGTATTTCTCCCTGTGTTGTCTGCTGGTACTGATGATTTCCACAGCCTTCTTATTCCTAACACCATTGACTGCGCACACAAGTGATACTCTCCTCTCTGTTTCTTGCACTGAGCTACAACTTTCTCTCCTGTCCACTGTTCCTACCTTGTATGTCACCTGAATGATGACACTCAAGTACGTCGATGTACAGACTGACTCGTAGTTCCACTTCACCCAGGCACTGATCAAGTCTGAAGCAAAGTCGGAGGGGGAGTTTTAGAACATCAAGACTCAGTTTATTCTTGTTTTTGAAGGCACAAAGAACAGCACATGGTTCAGCTTTTTAAAAATGGTTAACTTAGAAGCCTTTGGTAAGCTAGTTTATTTCAGAACGTGTTACTATGTAAGCATATTTTCCCAGGGATTTTACACATATCTGCTTGTGAAGAATAAATATTCACAGTGACTAATCTTGCTTTAATTAACACCAAAGAAAATAATGATGGTTGACACGACAAACTATTTTCAGGTTTTCTTTTTTCAGTGTGGCAGCTGCCGTTTAGAAGGCTGTGGAAAGGGCGGACACCTCACTATCCAGGCCCTCCTTCCCTTCCCCAAAATGAAATTGGCTAGTTTTTAAGGAATGACAGTAATGGTTTCATACTCACATTTTGTAGCCATCAACTTTTCAAAGGACTGGGCCCACTGTAAAACTTCCTCCAATGTAAGACTTTGAAAAGAAACAAAAGTTGCTCTTAGCCCCAAAATAGCCTCAAAGTTTTGCTGAATTAAAATAGAAATAGACTGTCATGAAAAGAGCACCCAAATATACTCCATTTTTCAGGAGGGGAGTTTGTCTTCCTGTAATTGTTTTAAATTTATTTTCATATTCTAAATTATTAAAATTGTAAAAGTTATAAAAGTAGTATAAACTTGATACTATGAATAAAATGGGGTTTGAAAAGATAAAGAGCCATAGTCCAAATGACCACTGTTGACATTTTGGATATTTCTTTTTGGTCTCTGTGTTTGTGTGTGTGTGTGTGTGTGTGTGCTTTTTGCGATGTCCATCACAATTCTCTTAATAACTACTTATAGTGCTTTTTTTGGAGGGGGGATGTATTAAATTTCTCATTTTTTTTGTGCTGCAGATAAAAAACACAGTTATGGTCTTATTAGCATCATTAACAGTTTCACAAATATGTTCAAACAATAGCTTCTAAAGGTTAGGTGCAGGTCATGCTGGAACATACTGAAGAGACATTTTAATTTTTATTTATGTACTTTTTTTTTATAGTGTCAGATGTGTTTTAATTTGTAATTCTCAATGTGTAAGCATTGACAGTGTACTAACCAGCTGCTGTTTCATAGGGTACACAATTATTTTTAATGAGTATTTTGATTATTTCTCATTTTTCATCATTAAAACCAAAGTAGCCCACAGTGTTCAAGGGTTGCTGTGGCTCGTTCTTGAGGGGATTAGCACAAACTGAAACAAAATGAGTCAAAAGCTGCACATTTCTAAGCTCCTTGGCATGGAAGTTCCCCTGTTCCTGAAGGGTAGTACTGGGTGTGCTGGTTCCCTGCTCTGTGTTTGCACAGTTCTATCAGAATCTTAGAATCCAGCCTCCAAAACCTACTTACTTGCCCTTATATAATAAACTTAGTAGCCCTATTATGTATTCTGTATAGCTATTTTGTCAGTTCATTATTTGCTGTAGTGGTTTTACATGCTGGGGAGTTTAATTTTCATTACTGGGAATAAAATATCAAGCAACCTATTTTTTTTCAAAGATTTATTTATTTGTGCATACAGAACTGGGGTACAGGCCAGAGGCTCAGGGGTGGCGAGAGGCTTCATCAGAGACAGAGTGGGGAGCAGAACAGGCAGACCGTCGAAGTACACTGCTAAGGGGAGCAGCAGGCGGGCCAGGAGAGGTCTGTTGTGCCATGTGGGTCACCTCCTGGGTGGGATCAAACTCATGCTGAAGTGGGTTTAGCTTCTTAGTGCCGTGCTTTAAACTGCTGCGCCACCAGGGAGGGCCCTCAGGCTTCCAAAGATACTGACTTAGAATTTTGATTTCTGCTCATTCGGTGGCTCTGTGAGGTGAATTGGCAAGTGACTGTATTTAACATATACATCATTTTATGTTGTCTCCTTTAAAAATACCCAGTGTGTTCATTGCCGCTCAGTTTATAGTACATTTTTAACTTTGTTGTTTGTTATAACTGTGTGTAATCAGAGACGGCTATAGATATAAGCAAGCACAGCCCAGTTTGTGCAATAATTAGTGTTGAAAGAACAGCCATCAGTATTAGCAGGTACTTAATACAATGAAGGTAGATTAAAGAGGTTAGAAAATAAACTGGAACACAGAAAAGAGCCAGCACTCTAAAAAGGTCAAATATCTTCTGTTTTCTACAATTTTAGATGGGTCCTGCCAGTTTTAGATGGACTGTTTGCACCAATACTGAGGCTTAATAGTGTACTGCTGTTAAGATGGCTTTCAAAAAACATTTCCATGAAATGGTATCTGACTCACGTACTTTCCTCTTAGTAGAATTTTAAAAACCATAACCTAAAATAACCTTTCTCAGGCCCTCCTGGTGGCACAACGGGTTAGGACGCAGCACTGCAAGCTAGCCGCAGCTGCTTCAGTGCAAGTTCGATCCCCGGCCCCGGAGATGAACCACCTGGCACAACACACCTCTTCTGTCTCAGCAGTGTACTTTGTCAATCTGCCTGTTCTGCTCCCCACTCTGTCTCTGGTGAATCCTCTCACTGCTCCTGTACCTCTGGCTTGTACCCAGTTCTATACACACCAATAAATAAATTAAAACAAAACAAAACAAAACCTTTTCAATCAGGTGAAATTGGAAGTGCTAGGCTAGTGGATGGCATCTCATCTGTTCTGTCCATTTTGCTCCTACAGGAGAGAATAACATCTATAGTACAGGTGAAGTATCATCGTCGTCTTGGGACAGCTTACATTTTGTTTTTAGTGGCAACTGAGAATTCAATTGCCGTGAAGATTTATGAGACTTATGGAGCTAGATCAGGATTGGAACAATTATATTTATAGGGAAAGTTGTGAAATATAATTTTTTTAAAACTTTTGCTGTCACTTTCTCTGAGTGGGTCACAGGCTCAAGTTGTTGCAGGGTTCTTATCAGATTATTCTAAACACTTTTGTCTCCTCAACCGCCAGATAGTTTTCTCAGTGGAAGTTGCTCCCTCCATGTCCCTTCCTTTCATTCCTGGTAGACAGTGGATACACATGGAAGTGGGACATCTAAGACATCACAATGGAGGAAAAAGAGTAAGGCAGTGTTTGGACCTGACAATCCTAACTCTAGTGCTGTGCTTAATAACCCCTGCTATTAAAATCCCCGAGCCCAGTTTTATTATCTGTAAAATGGGGGTAATAGTGTCTCTTTGCAAAGTTATCATGACATGAAATCAGGTCATGAATGGAAAGCACTTATGAATGGCTGGTCTTTTAAAACACTGAACTTTGGCTCTTACTGTCTCCTCTATTCATCATGACAACCCCCCACTACCGGGTCCCCCTCCCCATATATTTTGACATTGTGGTATAGAAGAGCAGGGCCATGAATACCAGGAGCTCAGACCGGAGCATGGCCAACACTGAGGGCTCACTATGGGCAGTGTGAGGCTCTTCGGTTACAAACAGTGATCTCTGATGAGGGAATTCTTGGAGCTGCATAAATCCAATCATATGGTTTGTTATCCTTTTCAGGAATTACATTTTCTATTTCAGTACAGTTGCTGTTCCCATCCAAATGGCTTCATTTTAGTTATGGCCAAATATAGAAGTGATTAGGAGCTTGGTAAGCATTTGTTACCTCGGCAGTGTCCTGTTTTCCAATTAAGATGAAGGTTTGTGGCGCTTTGTAGATAGAGGGTTTGAAGCCATGAGCATATTGTGGATAAAAGAGTCTCACTTTAGTATAGACAATATAAAACTTTTAAAAGGCTAAGAACATTTATTTGTAGTCATAGACTCTAAAGACATTTCACCTCAATGAAGTCTTAAGTATAAACCACAAATAGGGGAAACAGAACCTAGTGTAGCACATGACTACTCCTTCAGTGAAATTATTCATCTGATAATGCAAATTTTGCTTCTGAACAAATATACTAAGATCGTAATGGAATAAATATACCTATGTATCATGTGGTAAATATGCTGTATAATGGCATAGAATTTGAATGCTACTTACTCAGAAGGGGGCCTCTTAGATGCATTTCTGCATAGCTTACAAATCCAACAATTCTTCCTGCTCATTTTTTCTAAAGACAGACAGCATATTAGTATAATTTAGTCTTTTAGGATAAGTACATGTTGAAGTGGATTTCTAAGGAACATGAAAATGTATAAATCATGATAAAAATGAAGATAGGTTCTTACAGTTAATGGCATCAATCACTAGTGGGAGTAAGAGGGGAATATAATGACTCATCTCTTGAATATTTTATGAGACTATAGGTGTTCAGAGTGTGACTTTAGTTCTTTCTAGCACACCTATTCCTTAAGTAATATCATTTAAGAAAGTGTAGCTCTCTGAAAAATATCTTTCCATTTAGGGCTGCGGATTCTCCACCTCCCAAGTTTTCCTTTTTGGGTAATTCCTCATTATAGGAAGCTCTCTCAATATATCGAATAAAAATCTGCCGCATTGTTATAGTGTGAGTAGTCAAATAAACAATGAGGCTGCCTCAGGGAAGTTCTGAGAACGGTGTTGCTCACCTGGCATTGCCCATTGGGACAATATACCTTTGACTACAAAACTGAAGTAGAGTTTACGCAGCCTGGGCTCTCCGTAACAATGTGTCATTGAGGGTTTAAAATTCAGGATGTTCAGAAAATAGCTTCAAAAAAATTTTTATGAACAATTGAATCCTTTATCACGAGAGGTGGAAATAGTTCACTAAGCAGATATACATCCTTACATACCATGAATTATGAAGAATAAACAGTGAGTTGTGTTTTTTTTAAACAGTGAGTTTTTGCATCAGTCTTAATTGATGCATTTGAAAATCTGTTGAACACTTGTCATCTCTCAAGTTTGGCTGCCTGTGATCACACTAGGCCCTCTTTTTTCTCTCCCCATTCTCAAGAATGCACTTAACTTCATGGGGACTTTGATACAGGAAGCAGAGGGGCCTGTGAGTTCACACAGGAACCTAAGCAAAGCAAAAGTTGGGGTGACAACCATAGGTGTCCCCATAAAGTAATAGTTGAGCCTGTCCCCACAGGAGGTGCAGGAGGTGCTGAGTGAAGGGAGGGGCAGTGTGGACACAGGTCAGGCAGCCATGGGTCATGCCCTAGCTGAGGAAATGACGAGAATGGAGTCACCACTTGAGTCTAGAGTGTGGCAGAGAGACCGCTCAGAGAGCAAGCTGGAGAGTTAAGATTGGACCAAACTCTTGTTCAAAAGCAGTCACTGCAGCAACAGAGAGGCTGGAGACAGTGTTGTAAGGTGGAGAGCACATGAGCGTGGGAGGTCTCCCACACTGCCAACTTCAGTTAGGAGTTGGAAGTCACTGAAGCTTTCAAAAAAGGGAATAGAGAAATAGCAAAATAAAATATGGAATGGATGTTAGCATTTGAAACTGGTTTTGTGAGTTGGGTGGATGTTAATATAGCCGGGGTGGAATTAAGAAGACCACTGAGGAGGTGACTAGTTAGCAGGAGCCCAGGAGAGGGGAGCACAGTTTGGGAAAACAGTGGTAGAAATGGAGGGAAGGGAATTGATTTTACATACTTTGCAAAAGGAACTCCCAGAACTTGGTGATGAGTTGGGTATGGAGGGGAGGAGAAAGAGAGGAAAACAATTTTGGTGAGAGATTCAACCTCATAGTACCTCATACGATGTCAGAGAAGCTAAAAGAAAAGATGAGATGGTTCAGGGAGAAAGTGTGACTTGAGAAAAGCAGATGACCCAAGATGGGTGTTGAGAGAACATACACTTGAAGAGAGGCTGAGAAAGAGGAATCTGCAGGAAGAAGGTATGAAGAATATCGTATCACAGAAACCAAGGGTTTAGTTTTCAGAGAAGGAAAAAAGTGGCCAGTTGAGTGTTAGGAGTTGGGAAAAGATTCAGAAACCAAGGGGTTGAGCAGTATCTGTCAGATTTCTCAACAAGAAGGCCACCAGCAACCCGGGTCTGATACAGTGCGTTGGAGCAAGAAGGGAAGAAAGAAAGGGGGAGAAAACAAAAGACAGCAGAATTCGGGACAAATGTTGCGCTGCTGTACAGGCCCTTGCTTGTCCCCCCCGCACCCCTTCTCCTGTCCTCTCCTCTCCCGTCCCACCCCACCCTCTCGCTTTCTCATGACAGCCTTGGACAGAATGGTGCACTAGAGACAGAGAGCAGAACCCTGCTGTGTGACCACATGGGTCACACATCTCTGGAGATTGCTCTGAAGTCAAAAATGAGTGACAAACCTCAAGGTCGGCCAGTGGCAGCCATAGGGCAGGTTGAGATATAGAAGAGGGAAAAATGAACAGAATCTCAGGTTCCTAGGAAATTAGGATGATCTGGAATTTAAAATGTGAAGGTTGAGACACTGAAGAAGTGGAGCTGGAGACAGAAGTAACTTTTGTAGTTGGGAGGGGCTGAGAAAGTCAGGGTGCAGCTTTGAGCATACTTACAGGTTTGGGCTGTAGACTTCCGGAGTCTGTGTTCTGATGGGCTTCTGTTTCTTTATGGATGTCTCCTGTGAGGACAAAGTAGGTAAAGATTGTCAAAAAAAAAAAAAAAAAAAAAAAAGGAAAATTGGAGCTTTTCCACGACAAATATATTCCAACCAGTTTATGTGAGGGAGAGTCTATGATGTGTGTGGGCAGTTAGACGCTGGATGGCTTTGAATGAGGATTTATGCTATTGGTAATAGCAGTGCACTGAGGTCTTTAGATAATAGTGTGATGAAAATGAGTCTGTCTGAAGATGATGAACCCTAAAATAATTGAGACTCATAAAACTGTTGCATTGACTGGCTGTTCATACTGCTCTTGTGTACAATTAGACTGAGTTAGATTAACGTAGTTGAAGTTTCAAGATTCTTCATCTCTATAACCACCTCTTGCTGCAGATCCCCCACGACTCCCTGCTTTTCTTCTCTGTTGGGGGATGCCAACAACTCCTTTCTTCATACAGTTTCTCTTTCAGTTTAGTCACCCCTGACTCCCACTGAGCCGGCCTCTCCACCTCTCATACATGTTTTCTTAGCTCAAGTCTCCTCTCTGGATCTACCTGAGTCGTGTGTGCACATTAATGATGTATGTAACTAAATTCATGTCTGTTTGTAAAGTTTTATGTTTTAAAAACCATTTTAGTGGAACTGCTTGACAAAATCAGAACAGTCTTTGTATGCAACACCCACTGAGGTCAGAGGCACAGTGAAGGAAAGTCATCTTCAGCTGGGCTTGAATTTAGGGGCTTTCTGCAGCTCTTGAGAGGTGAGTGAGTGCATTAAAATAATTCTGGACTCGGCCTTCCCTGGTGGTGCAGTGGGTTAAAGCACAGCACTAAGAAACTAAAGCCACTTCAGCATGAGTTTGATCCCCGCCTGCCCCGGAGAAGACCACATGGTGCGGCAGATCTCTCATGACCCGCCCGCTGCTCCCCTCAGCAGTGTTCTTCATCCATCTGCCTGTTCTGCTCCCCACTCTGTCTCTGGTGAAGCCTCTCACCCTCCGCTTCTCTGGCCTGTACCCCAGTTCTGTATGAATAAATAAATCTTTAAAAAAAAAAATTCTGGCCCTCCCTGGTGGCGCAGCTGGTTAAAGCACTGCACTAAGAAGCTGAAATCACTTCCACATGAGTTCGATCCCCGCCTGCCCCGGAGGTGGCCACATGGCATGGCAGACCTCTCCTGACCCACCTGCTGCTCCCTTCAGCAGTGTACTTCATCGATCTGCCTGTTCTGCTCCCCACTCTGTCTCTGGTGAAGTCTTTCGCCACCCCTGAGTCTCTGGCCTGTACCCCAGTTCTGTATGCACAAATAAATAAATCTTAAAAAAAAAAAAATTCTGACCTCAGAAGCCAAAGAGATGTGCACTTGAGTTCAGGTTCTTATCAGTTATGTGACCTAAGAGGCATATTACTTAAACTCTAAGGTGCTCAATTTCTGTTTTTCTGAAATGAAAGTGTAAAGATTTGAAAAATGCATGTATGTACAATCTTTCTGTTCTGATTTATCTAATTTTCCTTCTTGTACTCCTAAATTCTTAGTAGGTACAGGAAATGCATTCTGTCAGGCTGCAGTCTTCCTTCCCTTTTAAAATTTTAACTTAGATCTTGTAAAATGTCCCCATTAGCCTTATCCACTGTTCAACATGTCAGCACATGCCCTGAAAATCCACTTCCTTTTACTTGGTTTTTATCTGCTTCTGTGTGTCTGTATTTTTATTTCCGCATGTTGTATTTGTAGCTGAGTCTGCTACAGGGGTTCTGATACATTTGGGAATTATTTGAAAAGATGGGGCTGCTGCAAAGATTTCTTTGAAGACCAGAGTTTGGGGTGCTTGAATGCTGATGCTAAGGAGGAGAGGAGAGCCCAGCCAGCTTCCCTTTAACTGCAAGTGTGCCAATGTTGTCTCCTTTACAGACATGCCCGTTCTGCCAGAGACAAGAGACCAGGCCCCCACCTTCTCCTAGCCAAGCTCTGGGCTGCTGACCAGGTTTCATCCATGTGGTAGACACACTCCCTTTTAAAACTCTAGCAAAGGCTTTGCATAGACTAGACCAATTCCGAGGGAGGTTTTTGGACCCAAGCAGCTCAGTTGTTGACTGACATTGGAAAAGCAGTGGAATATAATTTTATATAACACATAAAATATGTGTAAATAAATAAAAATACTGTTATTTATATTCCTGACTTCTGCTAGATGCAAAATACCTTGAAATATTTTATTTTTTTATAAAGTCATTTTGTTAAAAGTCAAATATTCAAAAATCTATTTAATTGTGGAATACAAATGGAATATAGTGCTATAAAAGCATCAATAGGACCTCCCCGGGGGTGCAGTGGGTTAAAGCACGGCACTAAGAAGCTAAAGCCACGTCAGCATGAATTCAATCCTCTGCCCCAGATGTGACCCACATGGCGCGGCAGACCTCTCCTGACCCGTCCGCTGCTCCCCTTCACAGTGTACTTCGTCAGTTGGCCTGTTCTGCTCCCTACTCTGTCTCTGGTGAAGCCTCACACTGCCCCTGCACCTCTGGCCTGTACCCTAGCTCTGAATGCATAAATAAATAAATAAATCTTTAGAAAAGTCAT